TGCTTTCCTGGCAGGCACAGTACCTTGAGCCTTGCCCATGTGGAACTGACCAAGAAGACAGGAAATCTATAAAAATTGTGAATGCTGGATGGATGAAGTTTTCAAAAGCACTGGTTCTGCAGGGTCTGTTGCAAGCCAAGACTTGGAACACTACAGTTACCATTACCCATGAGGTCAGGACCACAGCATTCCCATTTATAATCCTAATCCTAAGGCTGGATGTTGTGATCTTAGCAGAAAACAATAATCATAACATGCTAACGTGAGCATGCTCATAACTCCAAATTAAATATAAGTAAATTCATAAAGAAATCACTACTACCTTTAAGAATTAAGAAACTTTGATGGGTGCTAATGGTTTATACTAGTAATCCTAGCTACTCAGGAGGTTGAGATCTAAGAACCATGGTTTGAAGGCAAGCTGGGCAGGAAAGTTTATGAGACTCTTATCTACAATCTCCAGTCAACCACCAAAAAGCCAGAAGTGGAGCTGTGGCTCAGTGCTAGAGTGATAGCCTTGAGTAAAAAGGCTCAGGGACAGGACCCAGGCTCTAAATTCAAGCCCCAGGACAGATACACACACAAAAAAGAATTAAGTAATTTTAACCATTATGTATAACCCTAAGCAAGTCTTTTTTTTTTTTTGGTCGGTAGTGGGGCTTGAACTCTGGGCCTGGGCACTGTCCCTCAGCTCTTCAGCTCAAGGCGAGTGCTCTACCACTTGAGCTACAGCGCCACTTCCGACTAAGCAAGTCTTTAATTATGTCGGGGCTTGAACTCAGGGCTTGGGCTCTGTCCCTGAGCTTCTCTGTGGTCAATGCTAGTGCTCTACCACTTGAGGCCCAGCACCACTTCTGGCCTTTTCTGGGTATGTGGTACTGAGGAATCGAACGCAGGCTTTCATGCATGCTAGGCAAGCACTCTACCACTAAGCCACATTCCCAGCCAATTAAAATATTTTTGTGCTTAACTCTCTTCTACTTCTAAACCCATTTTTAATGTTATAACTACACTGCAACTTAAACATATCACAACTGGTATCCATACAGCAACTTAACTTACATCTACTATGAGTTCTAACTAAAATTCTAGTTTAACCCAGCAATGCAAATAAAACCTGAATTCCAATCTTAATTAGATCTGCAATAACACTAACCATAAACTATTTCTATTTTTTCTAACAAATCTCAAGTTTACCCGAACCCAACTGCTAAATTTATCCCAGATCTGCTAGTAATAAGAACCAGACCAAATCATCCAATTTCTGTCATTTTAATTTCATCCTAAACTGCTCAATGGCTTCCCAACTCTAGCTAACCCTAACCTTAAACCACGCAACCTAAACTGTAATCCTAACCTTACTCTAATCACAGTCATATTTCTCACCTGAATGTAACTTTGGCCACATTCGAACCCCACTGTTGGATTTTAGGAATGACCTTGCATGTGTCCTGGTGCTCTTAGGGCACTGTATCGAGAGGTTGAGCATTCAGGCTGAAGGGACAGTCCTTTGTCTCACTTTGTGCACTGGCACAAGTGGACTCTGAAGATGCTCTCCTTAAAAGGAGAGCAAAGAGGGCTGGGAATGTGGCTTAGTGGTAGAATACTTGCCTAGCATGTATGAAGCCCTGAGTTCGATCTCTCAGTCCCACATAAGCAGAAAAAGCCAAAAATGGTGCTGTGGCTGAAGTGGTACAGTGCTGGCCTTGAGCAAAAGAAGCTCAGGGACAGTGCCCAGGCCCTGAGTTCAAGCCCCAGGACTGGCAAAAAAAAGAGAGAGAGAGAGAGAGCAAAGAGTATTTTCACTGGCCACTAAAACACTTAACACAGAAAGAATCCAGAAACAATTGGAAATAATAGGGCTCTCATTCATTTTTGGGGATCAGCCTCTTATAAGCACAGATGACAAGTTAGAATATGTTACTTCACCTGTAACTCCAGGAACTCCCCATTCTGAACTCCCAAACCTCAGGCAGGTCCATAGCAACATTGCCTGGTCTTGGTTTTGACTCTAGGCCTCACCCTAGAGTACCCCAGGTTCCTGCTTCCATTCCATATGCCTCCACCTCCCTTAATAACCCCCAAGTTCCTTAATAATGACAAGAGACATTGAAGCCAGAGGAACACCTATCTTTATGTGTCTCAGTGAATGAGACAGAGAGAGTGTCATCATCTAGCCATAGTCAGACCTAACTAGCCTCTTGGGACCAATCTCGGGTAGCCTGCCCTGGACAGCAGAACCGACTCCAGGTCCTCCGGACAGCCTCCTTCACCTCCTTGTTGCGGAGGCTGTAGATGAGTGGGTTGAGGGCTGGGATGACAAGAGTGTAGAACACTGATGCCATCTTGTCATTGTCCAGGGCATAGCTGGAGCTGGGACGCAGGTACATAAAGATAAGAGTCCCATAGAGCATGGCCACAGCCGTGAGGTGTGAGCCACAGGTGGAGGCTGCCCTTCGACGGCCCTCAGCTGAGCGCATGCTGACCACAGCCCCAGCAATGAAACCATAAGACACCACAATGGCCAGCACTGTGGCTGTCTGGATGAAGCCACAGATGGCGAACAGCAGGAGTTCATTGAGACTGGTGTCATTGCAGGAGATGGCCAGCAAGGGGGGGATGTCACAGAAGAAGCTGTTAATCTCCCGGGAGCTGCAGAAGCTCAGGCGGAAGGTGAAAATTGTGTGGACAAAAGCACTCACTGCCCCACCCAGGCCTGAAACTCCCAGCAAGGCCAGACATAGCCCCCGAGACATAACCATTGTATACAGAAGAGGATTCCCAATAGCCACATAGCGGTCATAGGCCATGGCTGCCAACAAGCAACATTCTGCATCAGCCAGCCCTGCAAAGATAAACATCTGGAGGGCACAGGCTGCGTAAGGAATAGTGGCATAAGGCCGCAGCAGGTCCACCAGCATCTTGGGGCCAATAGCTGATGAATAACAGGCATCTAGTAGGGAGAGGTTGGCCAGGAAGAAGTACATGGGTGTGTGAAGCCGAGTATCCACCCAGATCAGAAGAACCATGCCCATGTTTCCCAGCAGACTGACCACATAGACTGGCAGGAAGATGAGGAAGAGGGTTATCCGCAGGTCCCAGCGGTTGGTGATGCCCAGAAGGATGAATTCAGCAGGGGCAACCCTGGCCCACGTGAAGTTCTCTGGATTCATTTTGCTGAACAGACACTGAGGAGAAACATAGCAAAAAATGAGAGACAGGCCAGGCCAGTCACAGAGGAGAAAGTACTGCATCCTGGGAGACAGGAAGCCATAGATTTCAGTCTAACCACAACCAAATTGCTGTGTTACCTTGGAAAAGCTGAATAACTTCTCCTAACCTTTGTTTCTAACACTGTAAAGTCACTGAAATTTCATCCTCATGAAGGCAGGAGTCTTGTCCCCCTTTACTAAAATGTATATGCACAGAACTAGAGTTGCTGGCACATAGTAGGTGCTCAATAAATACTTGCTAAGTGACTGATGGTGAATGGGATGGTATTTAGAGTTTGAGGATTGAAAATTCCACGATTCTCTATTCAGTCTTCTCTACATTTCCTTTTATTTTTTTCCAGCTCTAACACTAAGCCTTGAAGCTTGCCAGGAGGTCTTTCCATTTCAGTAAGACCTGGGAAAGGTGTGGCTTGCTATTCTGGGGAGACAAATTTGGAAAGAAATGTGAATATCTTCCTGGGCTGATTTTTTTCACCTTGGTGAGTCATAATTTTCCTGATCTGCACAGTGGGAAAAATGCTGGAAGCATTTAGTGAAATAATCAGGGAAAGTAGCTCACACAGATCCTGGCATATAACAGGCATCTAATCAAGGTCCAACTGGACCTGAATTGAGTGGAGCAGGATGCTCAACTTTCAGGCAATCAACAGTGTTCGTTCTCTACAAGTCCCATGTTGCTTCACCTGGGCCTTGGTAGTATTTCTCTCTATCTAGAACACATTTCTTCCTTATGTGTTTGACAACTGATCTACCCAAAGGAAGATAAATGCCAAATAAATGTCTGCCTCATCTGTGCCTGCCATAGTACATTTCTTGGTCATAGCATGATATGTCTATGGGCTTTGAGCTCTTTGACTCAACATACATTCATTGAATATTTTACTACATGTTAAGAACAGCCCTGTAGTTAAGTTTTGAATTTCCAGGGTCTGGTATGCAATCAGTGCTTAATAAATGCTAGTTAGCATATGAAATTGTGAAAAGACTATGGATATTAGGAGCATGGAGGCTTGGTTCTTTTTTGGAGCATGGACTTCCTTTTTCTGTATACAAATTCAGGTAAGTCATTTGACCTCACCTCTTTGAGTCAATGGCTGTGCAGCCATGGGCTTGGAGCTGAGTAAAGACTCTTTCCTTTCCCTTTAGGCACAGTGTGGATGTTCAGGACCTATTTGTGCTTGATATCTATTCATCTTAATTTGCTATCAAGGATGATGAAGGGTTTCCTACAAAGGATGAAAACTTGAGGACATTTCATGCCAGTGAGGTCATGTTTTAGAAATGCAACGTAGGACATTTCCCACAGCTGTGCACATCCAAGTGTCTTTAACAAGTGCACAGACTGTAGACTGTGTGTTCTCAACCACACATATTCTATTTTGGAGCCTGAGAAGTCTGTTACCAATAGGGCAAGCCTGTTTGGGTTCTGGTGGGGGTCTTCTTTCTGAGTTGCATATAGCACCTTTTTGCTTAATTCTTACACTGTAGAGAGTGAAAGAGAGACAAAAGAGCAAGCAGTAGCTTCTGATCTCTTAAAGTGACTCGTCTCATCATAAGAGCCCTACTCTCAGGACTTCATCCAAACCTAATTACCACCCAGTGCTCTCATTTCCAATGCCATCATATTGGGGGTCAGAATTTTAATATGATATTTTAGGGGAGCACAATGTTCCAAAGCATGCAATAATTCCACTTTTTGGTGTTTACTTTTGAAAATGTCTCATGTGTATTCAAGGAGACATGTATACAAGTGCACACCCTCCTGCACTATTCATCATGGCCAAACATCCTATTGATAGTTTCAGTAGGTTCAGGAGTGGCGTCAACCTATATGTAACAATATGGAGAAAGTGGGAAAACAGACTGAGAAATCCACTGGCTTGTTTCCCACTGTGATGTTGACTCCTATGACTCCACTTGATTACTGCTGCCTGTCTGTCCAGGCAGCAAGATCCTGAGAAGGTTTGTTATCTTTTTTTTTCTTTTTTTTTGGGTCTGGTCCTGTGGCCTGAACTCTGGGCCTGGGCGCTGTCCCTCAGCTCTTCAGCTCAAGGCTAATGCTCTACCACTTGAGCCACAGCACCACTTCTGGCTTTTTTCTTTTTGCTTATGTGGTGCTGAGGAGTCGAACTCATGGCCCCAGGCATGCAAGGCAAGCACTCTACCACTGAGCCACCTTCTTAGCCCCAGGTTTGTTATCTTGACACAGGACTGGACACTTGTTCACCCTGGTTATGAGGACATCTTATCCCTCATTTAATTGGTCTGTGGTGGTCCAAGGCTTGGAGCAGGCCCAAAGCCCTGCTGAGAACCTAGCGGCCTCTCCTTTGAGTCTTGGTTTTCTTGTATGTACCTTAGAGTGGGGTATGTAATAAATAAAGCAAATACATTAAGGTAAACACATAATTTGAGGTTCAGGATATAGCTCAGAGGTAGTGTGTTTGCCTAGCTTGCACAAGTCCCTGGAATCCATCCTTGGAACTACAAACAGACACAGGCAAACAAGCAAACAAGCAAAACAAAAGATGAAGCACAATTTTCAGAAAATATAAATGGATTGATAAAAAGCAAAAAACAACTTATGTGCTTTTTTAAAAAAAGTATATGAATATAAAACATACTGTTGGTTGTCCCAAATAGATAGGTTCCAGATGAAAGACTCCAGGCTCAGAGGATTTTTATCACTTTTTATCCCTTCCTAATCTCTTTAGCTGGTGCTTCTTTTTCTCTTTTGTTTTTGGTGCTGGTCTTGGGACTTGAACTCAGAGCCTGGGCACTGTCCCTGAGCTTTTTTGCTCAAGATTAGTGCTCTACCACTTGAGCCACAGCTCCACTTCTTGCTTTTAATAAATCAGAGATTAATTCATTTTAGTTAATTGGAGATAAGAGCCTCATGAGATTTCTTGCCTGGACTGGCTTCAAACTGTGGTTTTCAGATCTCAGCCACCTGAGTACATAGGAATACAGGAGTGCAAATGCACAAAGCCCTAGGTTCAATCCTTGCACCATAAAAAAGCAAAAAAAAAAATCTCTCTTGGCTAAGGGTTAGCTTTTATAGGAAACTGCATGTGAATTTTTGATCACTAAATCTTCATGCCGAAGCCTTACTCCATGAGTTCTCTGTATCATAGCCATATTCAATTGAAAACCATTTTAAATATATAAATATCTGTGTGTAAGTTTACGGGGTACAATATAATATTTTGATCTATTTATACATGTGAGAAAGATTAAATCAAGCGAACTAACACATCCATCATTTTGCTAACTTATTTTTTTGGTGAGAAAATTAAAATTGATTCCTTTAGTAATTATGAAATATACATGATCAACACAGTCACTGAGCAGAATATAATGAAGCTGATCCCGTAGAGAGTAGAAAGGTGGTTCTACTAGAAGCTGGAGGGAGAAGGGAGAAGGATGAGGAGATGATAACCAAAGGGTAAAAGAAGTTTCAATTAGACTAAAGAAATAAGTTCTAATGCTCTGATACTATTCCACAGTCTTATAACTGCTGTAATCTCCTACCGTGTTAGACATCTTGAGCTCTGGGACTATGGCTAATTCATCTTTTTATCCTTAGAGGATAATACAGAAGATTGTGGATTTTCCCCTTCTCTGTATCCGGACCATAGGTGGGTAGAAAGAAGCAATGAGGCTCAAGCTTTACCCAACTCCATGTGGTCTGTGTGTGAAGTCAGCTGCCTGGCGGGAGTTCTACTTGCAGAACCTGTGGATGGTCAACTCTTTGTGTGTTTGGTCTGTCCACATGGAAAGCAAACACCACTCACCTTTACCAAGGGAGGAGCAGAGCTGCGTCGAGTGCCTCTCCATTTCTTCATCTAGAAAGTGGAGAGAACAACACTTCAAGGATTTTAAGCTGCTTTGAAATTTTTGGTGAAAGGATACTCAAACTTCAGTTTAAATAGGTGTTTTGTGGTGTGTGTGTGTGTGTGTGTGTATGTTTCATACATGCACATAAATCATTATCCTCTCACTTACCCTCTACCTACGATGAGAATTATTGACCTTATGTTCGTGTGTATAGTACATGCAGGCTTGCATTGAAACAAGACAACTCAGGCTCTCTCTCACAAGGGACAGCTTCTGCATTTGCTCTGGACAAGACAGGAAATGTCTGAAGTTTCTGTGTCCACTTATGCATGGACATATGTATCACCTCCCCATTCTTGGTTTATAAAAACCTTGTTCCATGTTTTTCTTCTATTACTTTCATAATTTCTTTTCTTTTTTTTATCCCTTTTAAAATCCCTTCCTTTCCTTTTCTTTCTTTCCTCCCCTTCCTCCTTCTTTCCTTCCTTCCTTCTCTGTGGTACTGGGGATTGAACCTAAGCACTATTCATGCTAGGCAGGTACTCTGCCACTGAGCTCATACCCATTTTTAAGCATTTTTAGTGATTAAAAATTTAGTCTATTTAGAATTACTTTGGTGTAAACTGCAAAGAGAGGAATTACATAGTTTTATTTTCCTTCACCCAAGCAGAAGTTGGCACCAGTGGCTCATACACCTGTAATCCTAGCTACTCAGGAAGCTGAGATCTGAGGATCATGGTTTGAAGCCTGCCCAGGCAGAAGAGTCCATGTGAGACTCTTATCTCAAATTAACCACTCAAAAACCAGAACAAAATGATAGAGCACTAACCTTGAGCTACCTTGAGCAAAAATAGCTCAGGGACATCATCCAGGCCCTGAGTTCAAGCTCCATGACTGACAAAAAAAAAATAAGCAGAAGGGTAGGAAAAGAATAGCTTAAGTTCAAGATCATGGTAAAGTTGTAAGACATGTCCTTCCAATAAGTTCTGTCAGGATGGAGGAAGTGTATCTTTCACTGTCATTTCCTATACAACTGGGCACATAATAGGTGTCCAGCAAACCAATATGGACTGGTGAAAGCAGGTCCTGTATATACTCATGGAAGCTGGCTGAAGCCTTTTATTTATCCCATTCTGAACCTAAGGACCTAGACCACCCTAGAAACAAAGTGACCGAACAATCCTGATTTACCTAGAATGGTCTCCAGATTTAACTCGAAAGTCCAGTGTTCCAGGAAACTCCCTCAGTGCCAGCTAAACCAAAGTGGTTGGTTCCCATACCTAGCACAATTCTTCCTTTGCAGAAAAGCGAAGAGCATGATCTTGGGGGAAAGCCTGTGAGATACTCTTTTTCTAACTGAAGAAAGGCTTTGCCTTTGCATCTGACTTTCTATCTCTTAGAATTTATTGAGAATTGTCTGGCCCTCTTTGAATCAATATATGTTGACTTCTCCTCTTTGCTTCTTTTCCTGCTGCTCTCCTTCAAAGATCTGCTCCAGCTAGGGCTGTTAGCTGTGGGTAGTATGCAGCAAGCTTGGGGTTCCAATTTGGTTCTTCTGATCTCTGTTCATTGTCTCAAGTCCCTGCCTTTCTGTGTTTAGGATTATCTTACCTTGAAGTTAAAAACAACAACAGTGAAAAAAACAACAACAATGGAGTTCTGAAGAAGGCCAGAGACTTGTCCTATATACAACTATGATCTCAATGGAGTTCTGAAGAAGGCCAGAGACTTGTCCTATATACAACTATGATCTTAGATCTCCTTATCTTTCCTTAAGCACTGACTCTAGGCAGACTATAATTATATCTCTTGATAGAGCGCCAAGTTGCCTTCCTCTCTTTAGGCTTCTCTTTTTTATACTGAGCAGTTAGGACCAGAGCATACTCTGTGGACTGGTGTGTGTTATTAGAATAACTCAGAAGCATTGTGAGCAATGGGTTGGTATACAATGTGCAGAAATTCTGCACAACTGATTTAGAGCAGGGCTCAGAGATCTGTAATTGAAAACAATGTTCCAGGTGATTCTGATAGGTATCTGCTTTAGGCCCTCCAAGCTGACCTTGTCAATAGTTAACATGCACAGAAATCACCTGGAAATCTTATGAAGCACAGCTGCTGCCTCAGAAAGGCTGGTGGGAGAGCCTGAGATTTTTGCATTTCTAGCAAACACCCAGGTGATGCTGACTCTGAAGTTTGACGCCATCTTAACTAGGTGATGAGAGTTTTTCTCTTTGGCAACTTAGCATTCCCACTTTCTGAAGTATTCTCTTAACTCCCTCCTGCTAGCTCTCTTCTCTCTGCTGAGATCTTGGGGGTAAATCATCCTCTTCTATCCAGTCCTCACTGGTCTCATGAATGTATTTAAATTTTGCGAAGCTAGCCCTCTGGCATTCACAATTAAGTCATCTACCCTTAGCAATCCTGAATTCTTAGCTTGTTCTTCCCTGAGACTTAATTTGCCCAGACACCTGCTGCTGTCCCTGTGGTGGTATGTGGTTATAGGTTTAAGGACCTACCAAGAAGTGGAGGTGGATGGGATATTCTTCCAGCTGAACAGCTTCAGTCCAGCCTTTGGAGAGACAGCAGGGACATGCCCCACTCCAGCAGTAGGAACAGGGGAAATTATAGTCATCCTGGGCCCTGAGGGAATGGCCTCTTTCTGTTTTCCTCCTGCCTTCTTCTTCCCTCTCTGCTGTGCCAGAGTCCATGGAGACTCTGTATGTCCTTTGGAGACTCTGTGACAGCTGGAGGCAGGGGAATATCAGGGATGACTCACTCTTTGGTGCCTGGGAAGACTGGAGAAGTTTGGTAGGATGCATTTCCAGGTTCTGCACGGGAAACACAAATATACTATTCATTGAGAGTGGTTCTTTTGGGGCACTTTTCTTCTCTACATATACTATATGCATGCGTGTGTGTGTGTGTGTGTGTGTGTGTTGTGTACATATACTTTGTTGTTGTTATTATGTGTTAGAATCTTTGGGGGCTCATCTATATAAATTCAGTTTTTGCCATTTTTTGAACAAATCCTACTATTCCTCTTGCCTTTGTTGTTTACCTTGCTTTGTCTACCTGGCACATTTTACCTTTTGTGTTGCAGAAGCAGTGGTAGCTCCAATGTTACCTTCCACTGGAAGCCTTATTTTCTCTATATAAGAGCTATTCTTTGCCTTTGTGCACCTTTTGATGATAGGAGGGTTTGATCTTGGACCATATGCTTTCTAGGCAGATTCTCTATCACTTGAGCAGCTCTGCCAGTCCTTCTTTTGGTATTATTTTGGTTGTACTAGGCTTGAACTCACACTGTATACTTGTTCTCAGTTGGCATTCTGCCACTTTTACAGCCCAGATTTTTCCTGAATAATTGGAGATAGAGTCTTAAGGACTTTTCTGCCTGGGAAGGCTTCAAATCACAATTCTCGAGGTCTCAGTCTCCCAAATATCTAGGACTAAAGGTATGAGCCACTGGCACCTGGCTCATGTCATTATTTGTGGAACAGTCCAGGCTGGCCTGGACTGTTATCCTCCTATTCATGCTTCCCTGCATAGCAGGAATGACAAGTACATACCACTGTACCCAGACATTGATTGAGTTGAAGTCTCATGGACTTTTTTTTTGCCTCAAATTATAATTATCCCAATCTCTGCTTCTTACATGGGTGAAATTACAGGCCTGGGCCACCATTACTTCTTGCTTGCTTGGTTGTTTCCTTCCTTCCTCCTGCGTTCTTTCTTTCCTTTCTTTCTTTCTTTCTTTCTTTCTTTCTTTCTTTCTTTCTTTCTTTCTTTCTTTCTTTCTTTCTTTCTTTCTTTCTTTCTTTCTTTCTTTCTTTCTTTCTTTCTTTCTTTCTTTCTTTTCTCCCTTTCTTCCTTCCTTCCTTCCTTCCTTCCCTCCTTCCTTCTTTCCTTTGTTTTTGGATAGGGTCTTAGTATGTAGCCCAAGTTGGCCTGAAACTTGTTATATAGCCCAGTCTGGCCTCTCACTCTTGATCCTCTTGCCTCTGCCTCTTGAAGGCTGAGATTACAGGTGTATGGCACCATACTCAACTTGGACTAGAATTCTGAATAGAAAAGCCATAGTCCCCTTTTCATGAAGCTTTCAGGGAGAAAGAATTGGAATTGACTAATTGAAGGAGAGTATTTCAGGCATAATGGCAAATACAAGGACCTTGGGAGTGCAAATAGTATATTTGAAAACTTGAAAGGCCAGTGGAAAGCTTAAGTGTCGGGTCTTCAACTGTCCCACGAAAGTAAGTGTGTTGCTAGTCCTTTCCCCAGCCTCCCTTAACCCTGGAGACAATCAGATGCAGCGGGGAGTCAACTCAAGCAGGAACTCGTTTATTACCACACAGCAAGCACTTTTTTGGGCGGGAGGGGTCCAGTCGAGGGGCCTGAACTCTGGGCCTGGGCGCTGTCCCTCAGCTCTTCAGCTCAAGGCTAGCACTCTACCACTTGAGCCACAGCACCACTTCCAGCTTTTTTCTTTTTGCTTATGTGGTGCTGAGGAATCGAACCCAGGGCCTTAGGCATGCAAGGCAAGCGCTCTACCACTGAGCCACCTTCCCAGTCCCACAGCAAGTACTTTTTAAAGCAAAAAAGACTGGGTGGCATGAGGAGGAAAAGGAACCAACCAATCTCTGCAAAGGTCACACCCTGTCATGCATCTAAGCTTCCACGAGCTGTTTTTGCACTAAACGTAAACAAATCGTCTCTGCCCACTTAACTCCCTCTCAGCACCATCTTTGCTGCCCATGTGTCCTACACTTAAGGAATGATGGAATATGGTGTAAATGAGCTTAGATAGGTAGTAGACTCTTCCAAGCCAGGTGAAATATTTGTCTTAAAAAAAAAAATTCTAGCTGGCCACTGGTGGCTCACACCTGTAATTCTAGTTTCTCAGGTCGCTGAGATCTGAGAATTGAAGTTCAAAGCCAGCTCAGGCAGGAAAGTCCATGAGACGTCTCCAGTTAAACACCAGAAGCTGGAAATAGAGCTGTGGCTCAAGGTGGTAGAGCACTAGCCTTGAGCAAAATAGCTCAGGGACAGCGCTGAGGCTAGGAGCTCAAGCCCCATAGCCAACAACAACAACAACAACAACAACAAATTCCTCCAAATAAGATGGTAATGAGAGGGTTAAAGAAGGGCTGAAACATACATTTTAGAAGATTACCTTGATTGATATGAGTAGAAAAGATTTATAAGGAGACAAGTCAGGGGCTTCGTCATAGTCCAGGGTGGAAATGATGGAGATTTTGTCTGTCTTTGCAGAAGGCAAAAAGATTTGAGAGATATTTTGTAGGTAGAGCCAATGGAACTTGATTATACTTTGGGAGGTCATGGAAAAGGAGAAAGTTGATTTGTTTGACTTAATATATGTTTTTGAGTGTCTTCAGTGGTATAGCCCATTTTCTAGGCAACTGAAATATATCAGTGAACAATGAAACAACAGCATCTGAAGCTTACATTTTTGGCAAATGGAGAATGATATCAAACAAAAGACATAATAGCTAAATAATTAAATAATATAATCTATTAAACTTAATGAGTTTTTTCTTCTTTTTTAGTAAGTTTTTTATTGTGAAAATACTGTACAGAGGGGTTACAATCACACGAGCAAGGTAATGAGTACTTTTCTTATCAAGCATTGTTGCCTCCTCCTTTGTTTTTCCCCTACCATCCCTTCCCTCCCACCTCCACAACTACATCCCCCCCCACCTCGCCCCCCCCAACCTAAATTGTAAAGTTCGTTTTCAACATAGCATCTTGTACACCTCATTGTTGCAATGGGTCAACCTGTATCCCTATTTAAACAATTTGTTCTTTCCCTTCCACTTCCCAAATTATACCAACATCAAATAAAGTGAAAACAGGGGTTATACAGTGAGGGAGGGACATACAAAGCAACAAAAAAATCATGTGGTACCTTATAAATACATTAGAAACAATAGCAAGAAAGAAAAAACACTTGTGGGGGGCTGGGAAGGTGGCTCGGTGGTAGAGTGCTTGCCTTGCATGCATGAGGCCCTGGGTTTGATTCCTCAGCACCACATAAGCAAAAAGAAAAAAGCCGGAAGTGGCACTGTGGCTCTAGTGGTAGAGCGTTGCCTTGAGCTGAAGAGCTGAGGGACAGCGCCCAGGCCCAGAGTTCAGACCCCACGACCGGACCCCCTCCCCCCCCCAAAAAAAGAAACACTTGTGTCCTTATCTTGGGTTCATTTTGCTTAACATCATCTTATCTGACCTTTTCTGTTTGTCTCAGATATATACTATTTATTGCAAATAAGGGAAACCATGGGACCTATGTTTCTTTGTGTCTGGCTTACTTCACTTAATATAATTTTTTTCCAAGTCTTTCCATTTCCTAACAAATGGGGCAATATCTGGGGCTGGGAAGGTGGCTCAGTGGTAGAGTGCTTGCCTTGCATGCGTGAGGCCCTGGGTTCAATTCCCTAGCATCACATAAGCAAAAAGAAAAAAAGCTGGAAGTGGCACTGTGGCTCAAGTGGTAGAGCACTAGCCTTGAGCTGGAGAGCTGAGGGACAGCACCCAGGCCCAGAGTTCAGGACCCACGATCGGACCCCCCCCCCCAAAAAAAAAAAAACAAAAATAACACACACACACACACACACACACACAAACAAATGGGGCAATATTATTCTTTCTGATGGAGGCATAGAATTCCATTGTGTATATATACCACATTTTCTTGATCCATTCATCTACTGGGAGGCATCTGGATTGGTTCCATATGTTAGCTATGGTAAGTAATGCTGCAATAAAGCTGGTCTTGTTTGTGATCATTCACATAAATGCCCAAAAGTGAGATTGCTGGGTCATAGGGGAGCTCTATATGGAGTCTTTTGAGGAACCTCCATATTACTTTTTGAAGTGGTTGAACAAGTTTACATTCCCACCAACAATGAAGTAGGGTTCCCTTTTGTCCACATCCTCTCCAGCATCTGTTATTAGTGTTCTTGATTTTTGCCGTTCTAACTGGGGTGAGGTGGAATCTCAATGTTGTTTTGATTTGCATTTCTTTTATGGCTAGAGTGGTTGAACATTTCTTCATGTGTCTATTGGCCATTCTTATTTCCTCTTCAGAGAAGTTTCTCTTTAAGTATTTAGCCCACTTTTTATAGGGCAGTTGTTTCTTTGAGGATTTGTTGCTGGGGGATTTAATTTTTTGAGGTAAGTTTTTTCTTACCTATCAATTTCTATAACATTTCTGAATAACAAAGGACATTAAACTCCAGCAATACCTTCCTGATGGGATCTACCCATTTCCCATTCTCTTTTAACCACATAAAATAAAACAGAGTCCATCTTAATTGGTATTCTCTCAGAATTACAAGTCAGATGAGTCCTTTATGCCATGGGAGGCAAAATTTTCTATGATCATATGACCAGTTGTTTCTATAACCTAAGGCTTGTGTTAGTTTTCACTGATGTAAAAAAATACTTAAAAAGTCATCTTGAAGGAGGAAAGTCTTATTTTGATGCAGTTTCAGAGTTTTCCATGGTGAGCTGGCTCCATTGCTTTTGGTAAGGCAAAACATCATGGTAGAGGGACATAATGGTAGAGCAAAGCTGCTCACCTTATGGTGGCCTGGAAGCCAAGCTTGAGAGACAGTGACTGAGAGCCAGGTATACCTTCTCATGGCATACTCCTAATACTCTCCTTTCTAGGTCCCACCTCCTACCTTCTAGTTTTTAGCACCTCCTAAGAATGCTATCAAATTATGAACAGGCCAAATGGATTAATCTATTGACTAGGCTAGAGCTCTCATAATCTAATCACTTAATAATGGCACCAGCTGGGGACCAAAAG